TTCACCGATAACTAGGGTGGGCAGGATTTCTGAGAGTTGTAGTCCAAGAATATCTCAGAACCCAAGGTTGGGAACCACTACTTTAAAATATCATAAGATTGTTTGGTTAGAATCTTCTATGTAATTACATAAGGCAATCACACAATCATCCACTCCCCAGTAGGACCTCCTTCTCATGACACTGGTTGCAAAAACAGGCATGAAACCACTTGCCAAAAGGAAAACTCATTGGATAAAAACAGTTACTACACAATTCCCCATAAATGTGTGGGTTTTATCAGCTGGATTTTGGTCTTTGTTATTTTTCCTGCAACAAGGTTATCTTCTTGGAAATTGTTAATTTTAGTGTGTGTTTTTTTAATTCTACCCACTAGCAGCTTGGGCTGCAGTTTCAGGTCCATGGTTGTAATGCAAAACAGTTTGACAACCTATGATCATTAAAACAAATTATGAAAGCTAGTGGCACCAAGAGAAATATGGCAATTGAAACAAATTACGAGCTAATATTTGGGTTCCTATGGGTGATATCATATGCTATTATGTGGCATCTTGCATAGGATCTTGGAGTTAAACCACTATAGCAGTTACGGGATTCTACCTCCCAATATTTTAAACAATTGCACTGGTATAATGGTTCAAGGGAAAACAATTAAATTTTCTTGCTGGACTGTTAAGCTCTGTTCTTTCGTTTTTGAATAAAGGTTTCATATCCGTCTATAATTAAAGGGGAGAGCAAAGCTTTTGTGGTGAACAAACAGAATATGCACACAACAAAGGCTTATAAAAGATGACCTAATTTCATTTTATATATAATAGTTTTAATCCCAGTGGAGGCGACGTTCTGTTGTACCCACTCACAGAGAATGAATGCTTGAAATTACAGAGCAGGGGCTGTTCATGAGTTGTAGTCACATTTCTCAGATCTTGCTATAAGATACAAAACATCCACTGTGGTCCGAGGTAGACATTTAGGGTGGAAATTTCAACTGCTCATAACTCTACTTTACCTAGTCTTTTATTTCATAACGTTGGATGAATCTGATGACCCAGAATGAAACAGAATGGGAAGGAACCCGACAATATTGTGTAGAAGAAATACTCCTTACTGATTGACCTCAATAAACAAGCACCAGAACAAAAACAGACAGGTTACTTACCTGTAACTATAGTTCTTCAAATGGTAATCTGTGAATTCAGCCATACAGGTTCCTCCGCACCTGTGTGGGCATCTTTGGAACATCCCAGAGCTTGAAAAATATCTGTTAATGCCTATTCACTACACTATGCATGCTCACCGCTTATCCTCAGTTCCCCCAGTTTGCTGCTGCTAGAAAAAAACCCTGCGTGGCAGACCAAGGGGAGCATGGGTGGTGAGTTGTGTGAATTCACAGATGACCACTCAAAGAACTACAGTTACAAGCAAGCTACCTATCCTTCTTCTATGTGGTCGCTGTGATTCACATATATGGGTGACTGACAAGCACACTTACAAGCTGATGGGACGTCATGCCAATACAGTATAGAGGAGATGACACCTTCTGCCAAATGAAGCATTCAGTTTCAACCTGATGTCCAATCTGTAGTGTTTAACAAATATAAACGGCTGGGACCTTGTTGCTGCTTTGCCGATTTCTGACATCTGAATCCCTCCCCCCCAGGAATCCTGCAGAGGCAGCAACAGCTCTGGTAGAATGGCCTTTCAAAGTTCTTGCTAACTGGTAGGATAGAATAATCACAATCACTGTCCATGTAGACATGCATTGAAGTGTGAGAGACTTGCTTTCTTTGATCCCTGGTGACTAATAAACCATTTTGAAGACTTCTGGGGATAAGAGGTGAGGTAGGGTGCATGCACAGTGGGGAGAAGAGGCATTATCAGGTTTTTTTTCTGGAATGTTCCAAATATGTCCATGCAAGCACAGAACAAACCCTTATGTTTGAATCCCAGAGACAACAAAGAGGAACTTCATCAACATGCAGACCTGTTCAACTCTACCTTGCTTCCACTTTAGTACTCCTTCCTGTCCAATTCTACCCATCAATATCATGTCTATCTACTGCCATCCTACCCTCTAATTCTGCTTTTTAAGCTCTCTTGTCTGGGGCAAAGTAGGTAGCTAAGTTCTACGTTGCGGAGCAATAAGTACAGTACTACATTCTAGGTATTTCAATTGGAAACAGGCCTGTAACTAGGGTAGATCAACTGGCTTTGCTCCAGGGCACCAAAATCTAAAACTGAATCTACTGGTAGCTGGCAAACAAACAAACAAACAGGAAATCTCCCAGCCCTGTTAACTTTCCTCTTTTACTTTTTTTCTTTCTTTTGAAAGCATAATGTTTCTTTTTTGGGGGGGTAGTATCACATTGTCCTCCTCTTTTGGTGATGACTTCCATCCACACTTCAGAAAGAGTAAGAGGGAGATGATGCTATTTGCTCCAGGTGCCAAAATTGCCAGTAATGACTCAGATTGAAAGGCTTCCCTGTTCTAGATTGTGCAGAACTATTGTATACAGTGGTGCCTCGCATTACGACGTTAATCCGTTCCAGCGAAATCGCTGTAGAACAAAAACGTCGTAATGCGAAAAGAAAAAAACCATTGAAATGCATTAAAATCCATTTAATGCGTTCCAAAGGGCTGTAAACTCACCGTCCAGCAAAGATCCTCCATAGGGCAGCCATTTTCGCTGCCTGTGCAGCAAGGAATCTGTCCCAGAAAACAGCAGGGGGCCATTTTGTTTCCCCAGTGGCCATTTTGAAACTGCCAATCAGCTGTTGCAAAAGCATCGTTTTGCGAAAAATCGGTTCCTGAAGCAGGGAACCTATCATCACAAAACGAAATTCCCCCATAGGAAACATTGTTTTGCGATCGCAAAAGCGATCACAAAAACTTTTTTAAAAAATTTTTTTTCTACATACAAAAAAAACCACACACAAAAAACAAAAACAATACAAATAAAATCAAAAACAAAAACAAAACAAAACACTTCCTCGTAATGCGGTTTCGTCATTAAACGGGGCAACTGTAAAGCGAGGCACCACTGTACTAGTGTAGCAAGTCTAGGATTTCACAAGCTCCACCATGTTTTGAAGAATCCAAACACACACACTCTGAGACTTACAGAGATGTTTGGAGTAAGCCTTTTTAAAACGGGTCTCAAACCAGATTGTCATCCCATCTTCCTGAAGCCGGTACAGCCTTTGCTTCTGTGGCCGGTGGGACTTCACTTTCCAGAAGTAGGACCCCCTCAGCATTACCTTGATATCTTCATCATCTGTCAGTCCTATATTGAGGGTAGGGAGGGTGGGGGTGAGGGACAAGTGGCAAGAATTAGATCAATGCACATTTTGGATTAAAGAAGCAAGGAGACACTTTTGTTTTTCTGTGATCAATTTAAACCTAAAACTCAGTGCTTTATTTTGAATGCCTGCCCTGGAGCATAAGAAATATTAGCAGGGACAAGAATACCTTAGAGCATATGTTTAAAGCATACCTTTCTATTTAATCATAACCAGACAACACTGTTTGAAGGAGGGTGATGGTCCAGAAATAGGTTCAGGTACAATGTCCCTCTTTCCTCTATTCCCCATGCTTAAAACAATTCACCTGAATTTCAGAAAACCACTTGGGCAATTATATGAATTATTTCTATGATAAAGTCTGGAATATCTTACTCTTCAGGGCACAATAGTCATTCCCCCACATACACAGTATCTGATCATTTGTCAGGGCCAGTAGGGTACAGGCAATGTCTAGAAATGTGATGGCTAATTTGAAAACAGAAACAGAAAACAGAAAAATCTGTGAAAATTCTGAGGAGAAAAACAGGATTTCACTCCCACCTCAATTTTTCTGTTTTGGAGATTTTCAGATCTTGAGCAATGGGATACTCTAAAGAGGGCCAGTAGTCAGATATATACCGTAACAGGCAGATGAGAATCTAAAAAGGACTGGAGGAAGGTGAGGCCAAAGACAGGTTGCTGGTCACATTGTAGACCATAAAGACAAGGGTAAAGTAGGAGAGGATCATGGAAAAGTGTGCATTTGAACAACTGCTCCCAAACTGTTCTAGCTAGGAGGGCTAGTTATAATCAAAAACTCAACTTTCCAGGATTTAGGTGGGTGGATTGCTACTAACTGAAAAATCAAATCAAGACAAACTATTATGCAGACCCAACCAATATATTACTAGTTCCTTAGTTCACTGGGCCAGCTGGGTAAAAGAGGAACAATACCATCTGTGATCATTTATGAATGGTGTTGTAGCAGTGTAGAGATGAGGTTTCAGTATTTCCCAGTGGCGTAGAAGATTTTGGTACCCTGCCCTGCTACCAGAGTGTTAAGATCTAGATTCACTGTGTGCTAAATGGGCTAAATGGGCTACTTTATACCACTTAGGTCACTGGTAGGATACATGTGGCTTGGTCTAGTACATGAGAGGATGTACAAGTCTATTCAGGAACTCCCCCACTGAACCTAGAGGTACAGAACACTGTCTTCCTTAGATGTGTTTTCCCTAAATGTGTAGAGTAGGAGTAGGAAACATGCAGGGTCAGCCCCAGATGTTTTTGCTGCTCGAGAAGGGTGCAGCAAACCACCCACATACACAAGTACATCAATATGGAATTAATCAAGTTAAGTTATTTTGGCATACAAGGCGGAATAATCCCATAATCACCATTTCCCCTCCTTGTCATAAAAATACACTTTCAATAGTTTGCTGCCCTTTCATGATATCCAAATCTGCTGCCTAAGACAGCTGCCACACTATGTCTAATGGTAGGGCTGGCCCTGGAACATACGGCCCTCCTGATGTTCTTTGGGCTGCAGATCCCATCGGCCCTAATCAGCATAGTCAATAATGGAAGATGGGAGCTGCAGACTGACAACATCTGGAGGGCCAGAGGTTTTCTATTCCTTGTGCAGAGAGAGACACTCTCCAGCCATGCTCCCTCCATGGCCAACCTCCTCATGTTGATGGGAAAGGATCGGTAAATGCTTTTCAAACAAATGTAGTTACTACAAAGCTGACAGTGACTGAGAATGCTACCTTATTTAGGTTTCTGTTCTTATGCCAAACACATTTACAGCTCATTTTCTGATCACTTTGTTCAACTCTGGGAGAGAGGTAACCCTACCTGGAATTAGCATATGTCCGCAGCCAAGCTCTGTGCAGGGTGCCTTTCCTGGGGTAGGAAGACAGAGTACTGTACAAAGTAAAATATAGATATCTACCTACATGCTTAAAGGGGAAAAATGGAGAAATTGAGCTAGATGTTGAAGTTCTTAAGGTCTATCCCTGAAGATAATAGGAAAATTTTTTAATGAAACACTGGTGTATTATACTTGAGAGTTTTCTTATTGATTGATTGATTCATTCATTCATTTAAAATATTTGTATGCTGCCTTTCTCCCCAAAAGAACCCAAGGCAGCTTGCAACAATCAAAAGATGATATTTAAAAACTAAAAACATAAAAATATTTTTAAAAAATTAAAGAAGCATATTTTAAATCGTCAATAAAATAAATAGTAAAAACACATTTAAAAATACAAGAGTACAATAATTCATTCAAAAAACAAAAACAAACAAAAAAAATCTCTCAAGCTGCCAATCACCAAAGAAAAGCCAGTCTTGAACAGAGAGGCCTTTGCATGCTTGAGGAAGGACAGCAAAGATGGGGCCAGCTTTAGCTTCCAGTGGGAGGAAGTTCCAGAGTCTGGGAGGAGGTACTGGGACCGAGAGAAAAGCCTCCTCTGATTATCTTAATTCCTGGACATGTTCATAGATAGAGGTGCAGCCTTTTAGACAGCTTGGAACCAGCTCCTTTAGGGTTTTATAGGTTAAAACCAACACTTTGAATTGGGCCTGGAAATGGATTGGCATCCATTGGAGCTGTTGTGAGAGGGGAGTTTTATGTTCCCTGTAACGGTTAAGAATCTGCCATGGACCATCTGAGGTTTCTGAAGACTTTCCAAAGGCAGCCCCACATACAGCATGTTATAGTAATCCAGCCAAGATGTAACTGGGGCACGTGTCACTGGGGCGAGATCAGACCTCTCGAAACGGGCACAGCAGGTGAACTGTGGTTTTAACTGTGTAAAGGCTCCACTCCTGGCCACTGCAGAAACCTTGGCATTCAGGCTCAGAGATGAATGCAGGAACACTCCCAGGCTGTGCGATCCCATACAGCACAGGCTGCAACTTTATTCTCTGATCTGCTTTTCACCTGACCAGAAGCACCACCGCCTTGTCTGGATTAAGCTTCAGTTTATTTACCGTCATCCAGTCCATTGCTGTCACTAGACCTGATCTAGAACCAAGAGAGCTTTCTCAGATATTGGAACGGCTGAGCCACTCTAAAACAGTGCCTCCAAGTCTCATCCCAGAGAGAGACGACCCAGAAGGATACCATGGTCGATGGTATCAATAGCCACTGAGAGGTCCAGCAAAAGCGATAGAGACACATTCCCCCTGTCCAGTTCCTGGCACAGGTTGTCCACCAAGGTGACCAATGCAGTCTCCATCCCATAACCAGGCCTGAATCCAGATTGAAATGGATCCAGATAATTCAGGAACCACCAAAGCTGAGAAGCCATAAAGTGCTTCAGCTCCTTGCCCCAAAATGAGATATTAGAGACTGGCCAGTAATTATCCAGTAACCTGGGTTCCAATGAGTGTTTTGTTTCCCCCCCCCCCAGTAATGGTCTTACTACTGGATCCTTTAAGCATGCTGGGATGCTACCCTGCTGCAAGGAGGCATTCGTTACACCTTGGAGCCACTTAGCCAGTCCTTCTCTGGTAGCTTTTATAAGCCGGGATGGGCAAGGGTCCAGCAAACAAGTGGTAGCCTTCACCTCTCCAAGGGTCCTCTACACACCATCAAGCTGCAAAAACTGAAACTTATCCATCAATACCTGACAAGCAAGGGCCATAGTTACATTTACAGGACTTATACAGTGGGGTCTTGACTTGAGAACTTAATCCGTATTGGAAGGCGGTTCTCAAGTCAAAAAGTCTGTAAGTCAAGTCTCCATTGACCTACAGTGCATTGAAAACCGATTAATCCCGTAACAGGCCGTTTTTGTTCCATTTTGGTTTTTTTCTGGTCTGTAAGTCAAATCTCAGTCTGCAAGTCAAACCTAAATTTTGCAGCCAGAGAAGTCTATAACTCAAAAAGTCTGTAAGTCAAGCCGTCTGTAAGTCAAGGGTCCACTGTATTAATTACAGCACCCAAATCAGAGTAAATCCATTTTGCACGCAAAGTGCTGTGCAAATTTTTCACAGCAACCTACAGTGTGGTCAGCACTACCTTCCTGTGGGCCATGATGTAACAGGCCCTTGACCACTCAAAGAGCTGTGCAGATGCAATGGTGGCAATGAAGAACGACTTCTTTGCCGCCGCCACTGCCATGGAATAGGCCTTCCAATACAGTTGGATTCACTCAAAAGTTTTCCGCCATCATCACTCTAGTCTCCATCCCTTTTGCTTCATGACCAGCAGCTCCCCAGTAAACCAGGGGGCCAGTTTGACTCTACTTTGTGAGAGGGGATGCTTAGGAGTGCTTGTGTCAACAACCCTGACCACTTTCCCCATTCCAGAGGTCAGCCAGGGCTTCGACAGAATCACCTGCCAAGGCAACTGAAACCTCCCCAAGAACCATCAGGAAAATATTACTGTATTTTGTGTCTCCTTTTGTTTTTGTTACTTTTGTTTTTGTTACTATGATTGCACTATAGTTTGATACAGACTGTTCTGGCTGGATAAAAGAAGGGAAAACTGGGGGGAAAGTATGGGCAATATAATTTTGGAGTGGAGGAAGGAGACAAAAAAAAATACAGAAAAGACGTTGGCGTTTTCTATTGGAACACATACAACCACGTAAGGGCAGACAGCACCCGAATATATGGCCAGCTTGAGAGGAGGAGAGAATGAAGCAAGATCCTCAGCTGATCCCAGGCTGCAGAGCTATAATAGCAACACAGGGTCAGGAAGCCAAGAGTTGCATTCAGCACTTAATCTCAAATGACAGGAGATTAAACAGACTGCATCAATGGGTGCTGTTTGCAGTTGGTCTTAGCAGCTCTTCTGGCAATTGTGTTGAAGTCTGCTATATACGTACTGTATTTCTTATTCAGTTGTTGTCCTGCCCTTCTAAATTCCAGCTCAGTTCCTGGCATAGTTACAGTGTTTTGACAGCAAGGGGAAAAAGTCTGTACTGTATTATTATACAGCATGTAATCCTGAATATAGGGTGGGGCTGTTTTTTTTTCTCAGCCAGTC